GGGAGAAAGGACAACCCTTGTGGCCCCGTGTGTGTGGCAGTCACTGTGTGGACTTGGGCTAAGCAGGTGTGCTCTGTAAGTTTTAGTGCCGCTGGGACTGCACCACCGAGGCCCCTCCCGGTACTGCTGGCGCACCTGGGCTCTGTCCCCAGGAGCAGAGGCTTCACCCCCTCCCAGCGCCTCCTCCCCCTCAGCCCTCTGGGAGCGACATATGTTCGCTCTGAATATTTCCCAGACTCTGGACCACCCGGTGGTAAGTGGAAAGCAGATGGCCTGGAGTTAAAAATAAAGTGAGACCCCAGCTCCCTGGAAAGCTCCACCCCCCTGTGGCATCAGAGACATGCACGTTTCACACAGTCCTGCGTGGTGGGAAGCCACCTAGGCACGCACCTCCTCGGGTTCCTCGTGGTTGTCATTTTATGAAATATTCAGATCCTATCCGGGCCTCGGGCCTCTCCTCTGTGTGCCAGCCGTTCAGTCCTGGGTTCCTGTGTCAAGATGGTGGCTCTGCAGTGTGGTAGAGCTGTCATCCCCCGTCTGCTGCAGAAGCCTACATTTGCCTGCCAGGCGTCCCGGAGCCAGGCGGGGAGGAGGCAGCCACAGCAGCCTGCGGGTCCACCCTGCCTCAGCCCTCTGCCTCCAGCACAGGTGTGTCTTTGGGGATTGAGTGGAGATGGTTGAGTCCAGAAGGGCCCGTGCACTCTGCTGCCGCCCACAGGAGCCCTGGGCATTAGGTGGTGGCCCTCAGGGTCCGGCCGCACCTCTGCCTTGAACCCAAGCAGCTCCAGCTCCCCCTCCAGGAGTGAAGGGCTTCAGGGTAAGGCAGGACTGCAGTGAGGCCTCTCCATTTGACAAAGGAGGCAAGGGAAGCCCAGAGGGCCCAAGGCCCTTGTCCCTGTGCCCAGCAAGGAAGGGACAGGAGTGAAGGCCTCTTCGGTGAAGGATTCTGTTTCACTCTGATCACAGGAAGCAGCCAAAGTCAGCACCAGCCCTCAGCCATCGCTCCATCAAACACTCACTACAGAGGGAGCCCAGAGGCTCAGGCTCCGGGCTTCACAGCAGGATTCCGCTCTTACCTGACTTGTCCGTTTGGATTGCACTTAAGGCAGAAGTCTCAAATGCTATCTTCATCTTTCCAACTTTTTACCTGTGAGATAAATGACAGTTTTTTTTTACAAAGCTGGGAGCCTAGGAACATTTAATTCTCCAAGGTCATGACCACCAAGCACTTCTCCCAGCCACCTGAGCCCAGCCACGATCCTGGGCACTGCCTGAACCACTGTGGCTCCTAATGTTGGGTGTATCATGCTGGCTGTGGTGCAAGACTCTGGGCCAGTCCTCTCCAGAGCTCAAGAGAGGAGCTGGCCCCCTCCGATTGTATTGGCATCAATCCATTTAGGCTGCTATAACAAAGTGCCATAAATTGGGTGGCTTATAAATAACAGAAATTTATTTCTCCCAGTTTGGGAAGATGGAAGTCCAAGATCAGTAAGCCAGCATGCTGAGGTTCCCATGAGGGCCCTCTTCTAGGCTGCAGACTGGCATCTTCTCGCTGTATCCTTCTCTGGCAGAAAGAGAGCTCTCGGGGGTCCCTATTATAAGGGCATGAATCTCCACCCCCTGACCTAATCACAGAGGCCCCACCTTCTAATCCCATCACTGGGGGTGAGGAATTCATCAATTAATGGGGAGGAGAGGCAAACATTTAGTCCATTGCAACTGGCTTTTCTCACTCCAATGGGATGATTTAGGAGAACTTGGAGACCAGCGCTGAGCTTACCTCTTGCTTAACTCTGATCAAGAGACACTGGTTGTGCTGGCATAAAACAGGGCCCGGACTGATGAGCAGAAGCACGGGCATGGCCCAAAGAGGCCAGCGGAAGCCCGCATGTATCTGAAGCCTCTGGCTTTAACTTTAAAAGTCCTGTGAATAATGCACTCTACTCCGTATCATATCCTTATTTTAGTTAGGTAGGTTAAGCTCTACTGAGATAATAAACTGAACCAGCAGAGGTTTGTTTCTTGTTCATGCAGATGTTGCCACAGGTCAAGTGGCCCTCCAGGATGATTCTCCTCCACTTGGCTCCAGCTGCTTCCAGCCCGCATTCTTCCATGTTCGTGGCCTCCAGTTGCCTCAGCAAAGAAAAGACAGAGGATGACAGGGTGCTTGCTCAGAGTGCAGCCAACTCCACCTCTATCCACAGACCCTTGGCCAGAATGCTGTCACCTAGCCTGTACCAAGATGCTGGTACAGGGGTATGTGTCCTCCAGACCCCAAGAGAAAAGAAAGAAATGGGACTGGGTGATCACAAAGATAATATTGTTTTGCCACTATACATATTTCTCTTTTTTAAACAATATCTTTATTTTTTTTTATTTTATGTGGTGCTGAGGATCGAACCCAGTGCCTCATGCATGGTAGGTGAGCACTCTACCTCTGAGCTACAATCCCAGCCCCAACATATTTCTTTTAATATAATTGTTTCTCTCCCTCTTAACCTTCAAGTAAAATGGCTGCTCCAAGAAAAGAGCTATGTTTATCATTTGGCTGCTCAGAGCACCCCCGCCCCAACACACAGCCATTCAGGGTATCCACAGGGACTGGTTCTAGGGTTCCCGGGGGTGCCAGAATCACCTACCACACCTCTTCCCAGACTAAAATAGGACATGTGCTCACACATTTATACGACCCACAGCTGGAGAGAAACACAGAAGCGCACCCATAGATACCCCCTCGAGTCCCAAGGGGCAGCTGTTCCCACCGACACCAACACATGGCACAACCCTCACTCTTCTCTTGGTATCCGCGTGGATTGGTGCCAGAGCCCCCCCCCCCACTGACACCACAATTTGATATAACATAGTGCGGTGCTGGGAATAGCTTCTACATATCCTCCTTATACCTTAAATGATCTCTAGCTGGGCGCGATGGTGCACACCTGTAATCCCAGTATCTCGGGAGTCTGAGGCAGGAGAATCCAGGTTTGAGGCCAATCTCAGCAATTTAGTGAGACCCTGTCTCAAAATAAAAAAATAAAAACTCTGGGGATATGGCTCAGTAGTAAGGCGCACATGGATTCCATCCCTAGTACTAGTATTATATATTATTATATATATATATATATAATCTCTAGATCTCTTATAATAACTAATGTGACAAATGCTATGAAAATGGTTGTTACACTGTACTGTTTAGGGACTAAGAATGAGGGAAAAAAGGGGCGACTTGTTTGGTAAAGGATGCTGTTATTTGTGGGGATATTTTTGATCCTCTATTGGTTGATGCCTCAGAGGCAGATTCCACGCATCCCGAGAGCTAACTGTGTCCATCACCCAGTTTACAGAGGGAAGGACATTACTGCGGGTCAGAAAGTCCCTCCACTCCACACAGACATCAGGACGTCCAGAGCATCTACCCCAAAGTTCAAGTTCCCGACCCCCAGTCAGGAAAGAGGCTGCCTACAGGGATGCAGGTTTCAATTCAGGGTCCCCAAATATCACTCTTCAATTCTTGGTCTGTGCTCACACATAGTATGAAGTGGTTCCTAACAGCAGGGGAGGGAACAAAAGTAGTGGTAAGAGAGGGGTCTAAGCACAGGGGCAAAAGCCGTCTTTCTCGTACCTGGTTCTGTACATGCTCTGGTTTTTCATTTCCAGTTATTTCTTGGACATTATTGCAGACACCATGGAAGTGGGCCTCAGATTTTGTTTTTGAGGCAGGTCTTGTTATGTTGCCCAGGTTGGTTCCAACTCCTGGGCTCAAATGATCCTCCTGCCTCAGCCTCCCCAGTAGCTGTGACTCCAGGTGTGCACCACCACGCCCAGCCAGGGCCTCGGTTTTTAATGACACCTTAGTGTGCCACCGTACCATACACTGTGATTGCTTCGAATTGACTTTGCTGATGGATTTAGATCATCTCCAGTTTCCTGTTACTATACAAAGCATCGCAGGGACAGTTGCTGCACATGCATCTTTATGTGTGTGAACCATGTTGTCCTGGAGGTTGAATTACTAGGTCAAAGTGTACACGCCTTTTATTTTATTTTTTTGTGTGGTGCTGGGGTTTAAGCCTGGGGTCTCAAACAGGCTAGGAGAATGCTCTACCACCACCAAGCGACAGCCCCACCCCTGTGCATTTTAAATTGGGGCGCTCAATTGTCCTCAAAGAGGTTGGACCTGTTTTCAGCTCCACCAGCAATGTAGTATGGGAGAGGGCCAGTTCCCCGTCTTCTCCTGCACGGCGTATTGTCAGAACGTTAACTTTTGCCAATTGATGGATGAAAAACATGGCATCATCTCATTATAGATTTAATTTTCACGTCTCGTGTTGTGAATGCGGCCAAGACTCTTTTGTGTGTGCTTAAAAGCCATTAGTGTTTCCTTTCTCTGTGAACTGGCTGCTCATCCTCTTGCTCATTTTCCTCCTGATCTTCTTGTTGATTTGTAGCATCTCTTTGCAGATGAAAAGAATTGGACTTATGTCGTAGTTTTGCAAAATCTGTATTCTGCATGGGCCTTTGTCTGGAGCCAACTGTCTCCCTGCCTCCTTCCCACTCTCCAAAAGCTGCAGTGGCCGTTCTGAACTA